AGTGTTCAAGAAGAGAGTGAAAAATGGGCGAAATGTTAAATATTTTCCAAGACGTACATTTTGACGAAACTATTACCAAGTCGGATATTCATACGTATCTTCCTTATAGTTCATCTAACTACGGGCTGTCTGAGGAGATTCGCATTTTAATTCAAAGTCAAGATCTAATAACTGCAACGTATGATAGTTTTTTGTATATCGAAGGAAAAATAGAGCGGAAAGCGGAAGATCATCTGAAACAATGCCATCTAACAAACAATTTTGCAAGCTTTCTGTTTGAGGAGATTCGTTATGAATTAGGAGGTCAAAGAGTCGATGTTTGCAGAAATCCTGGAATTACATCAGCATTGAAAGGGTACGTTTCGTATACAACTGCGGAGAGTAAGGCATTGGCTCATTTGGGGTGGTCACCAAAAAATGAAGAGCCTTTACAAGTTGAATACACAAAAACCGATGATAATGTATCGAAATACTTTTCGGTATGCATACCGCTTAAACACATATTTGGAATGATGGAAGATTATCATCAAGTTATTGTAAACATGAAACAGGAGTTAATTCTGATTCGATCGAGAGGCGATGCCGATTGTTATCAATCCGAAGCAGATGCAACAATAAAGTTGAGCAAAATCCAATGGAAAGTGCCTCATCTCACACTCGGCGACACCGCAAAGCTTAATCTATTCGAACGGATTAACAAGAACGTTGCGATTAGTATACCTTTTCGACAATGGGAGCTGTATGAACTTCCGGCACTTAAGCAAGCATCGATGGATATATGGCCTATCAAAACTTCAACACAACTAGAAAAACCTCGATGGGTAATTGTTGCATTTCAAAAGAATAAAAAATTTTCGAAGTCTGAGAAAGCGGCGAATTTTGATAATGTAAACATCAGAAACATAAAGCTACATTTAAACTCTGAAAGTTACCCGTATGAAGCAATGCACCTGGACTTTAATGAAAACAAATATATTGTGGCATATCATCAATTCTTAGCCTTTCGACAGAATTACTATGCTAAAGATGAACAAGATGCACTATTCGATTATTCCCAATTCAAAAACTGCCCAATTTTTGTGATTGATTGCTCTAAGCAGAACGAGACGCTTAAGAATTCAACTGTAGACATCAAGTTAGAAATCGAATCGCGGAGTTCGTTTGATGCTGGAATAGTAGCGTATTGTCTTATTCTACATGATGCACTTATTCAATACAACCCTCTTACGGGTGAGGTGAAGAAGTTATAAGAGGATAGTGATTATTATTACTATTGTTATTATTTATTGTTATTGTTAATATTATTATTATTATTATTTATTTAAATATAGTGTATTTAATGAGAAGGCACTAGTTTTATTCTATCTGTCTTAAGCGGTAGACGTGAGGTCAGTTGACGATGAAGGTAATCCCTCAAAGTAGTAAGCTACCTATAAAAAACCACGATGACCTTATTAAGAGCCAAAGTGTTGCGGGTAAGCATGGAGAGCTGCTTCCAGATACAGTACGTGGTATCATATGCGGTCCCTCAAATTGCGGTAAAACTAATGTTATGCTTAGTTTATTAACTGAAGAGAATGGATTAAGGTTCAATCACGTTTACATATACTCGAAATCACTAAATCAGAACAAATACAAACTTTTAAAAGATATCCTACAACCTATGCGCGAAATCGGGTATTTTACCTTTACGGACAACGAACTTATTATGGAACCTAATGCTGCACGACCGAATTCAGTTTTTATATTTGACGATATCGCTTGTGAAAAGCAGGATAATATTAGGGCATATTTTTCTATGGGCAGACATAATGGGATCGATTGTTTTTATTTGGGTCAAACTTATAGCAAGATACCCAAACAGTTAATCAGAGACAATGCAAATTTGATTGCAGTGTTTGAGCAAGATGAATTAAACTTAAAACATATATATGATGATCACGTGGGTCCTACGATAACTATTCAACTCTTTCGCGAATTATGCTCGGAATGTTGGCGAAATAAGTTTGGTTTCTTAGTCATAAACAAGGATGCAAGCCTCGATGATGGCCGTTTCCGAAAGGGATTCGATCAGTATATAATGCCGTAACTTTTTTACCCCCACCTATTTACAAAGGTATCGTGAAGTGCAAACCATTGCAGCCATCGGCCACTTGTAGAATTATACCAAAACGCAAATCGCACCCAAACCAGAACGTCAATCGATCCCAAACCTGAACGTCAATCGATCCCAAACCTGAACGCGAATCTAGCTCAAACGCGAACGTCAATCGAACCTAAATCTGAACTCGAATCGAACCCCCCAAACCAAAACCTAACCTAAACAGGGAGCTTTCATACGTGTTCCTTTAACCGCCCACAATTAACGATGGATAACAAGGAGATGACATTGAAGAGAAGAATAATTCAAGCTCGTAAGGCGATACAGCAAAAATGTAATCATCTTAAAGCCGATCGCTTTAGCAAAGAACAGGAATTTGTGCAAACCTATCAACCGTTGATCAAGCCACTATCACGAATCGCTAAGAAAATTGAACCATCATCAGCGAAAGTGGTGGCAAAAGAGGAAGAGGATGGGGAAGATGACAAGGAAGAAGAGGTGTTTACAAAACCGTCTCCGAAACGACATCAATCTTTGAGGAGTAAATCACCACAACGTACGCCTTTGGCATCCTATTTCTCAAGAATAAATCGGAATAGGCCCTCGTCTCTTAGCGATATTAGTCCGCTCGCTAGACTTCCGTACTTCCAGAAAAATCCTCCATTTCAATTAAGTGATATTAGTCCACTTCATTATCTTCAAGGTAATACTCGATCTCGATCTCGATTGGCTACTCCACGAACTCCATCGTTCCTACAAAGCACTGTGATAGGAGAGGTGCAGCCTGAAGATGAAAACGAAGAGATTTCGTCACATTCTACATCCTCAGCATTGGTCCTTGATGAATCAGCGGCCTCGAAAGAATTTTTGGAACAATACGAATATCTACCGCGTATATACGTTGAACGTATGATGCGAGATACCACTAAAGCAATTGACACTACTTTTGGTATACACTATGAGGTAGAAACTGATAAGTGGACAATTGGTAATACTCCCGTAACGATAAAGGGAAGTGATTTGGTTATTAATGGGGTCCAGTACAAAGGTACTGCGGGCCTATATGACCTCATAATTATGAATGTGCCAGACGAAACGCTAATTACTAAAGAAGACCGAGAAAACTATAAACGGATTTTATTGGCTACGAACGTAGTAAGACGCGACTGCGATTCTCAGGGGCGATTACGTAGTAACAAAGGCTTTAAATATACGCAAATAATTAAGCCTTTACTGATGGAAGAGGTAGAGAATATAGGTGCGAAGTCTGGAAGCGGTGCTACTCTATTCAAGGAACTTGCTCGGCCAGTTGAGTACAAATATTGGAATGATGTACATGAGTTAATACAAGACTTACAAATATTATGGGGCGAGAAGATGGCTGGAAATACGGGATTAGAAAATGAAATATTATCAATTGTTGAAGAGCTCCATGAAGATGGTTACATTGAAAAACCTACCGAGCGTTTCCTTAAAAGCTTAGCAAACTATAAATAGCGAGTCACTTAAACCAACTTGACATAAAAAAAAAAATGACTGTTGACAAATTTGGTCGTCCGCACGATTATCAAAAAGCTGCATCCCTTGTTACAACGACTGGCTTTAAACTAACTCATGACAATCATTTCAATGTTGGGAATAGGAGATTGACAAACGTAGCGGACCCGCTCGAGGATCATAACGCGATTAATTTAAAATATTATTCCACTACAAGATACGATCAAGGTGGTAATCGTTTAAAACAGGTAGCTGATCCTGTGGAAGACGACGACGCAGTAACTAAGAGGTTCCTTCAAACGTACACGCAAGATATTAAGACGTCATTAGACAGTTACCAGATCAATTTGCTCACGTTAGGGCAAAAAATAGGAGAAATCAAGGATCTCTTGACTAAAGTACAGGAGGAATGTCCAAACAACAAGTCGTAAATGAGTTACATAGACCTGCAAGGAAGAATTTTTCCCGAAGAAGAACCGTAATTAAGGGATTTGATGACCTTTGGCAAGCGGATTTAGGAGAATTTACCCAATACGCTAAACATAATAATGGCTATAGGTATATACTTGTGGTTATTGATTGTTTTTCGAAATACCTTTGGACCAAAGGGCTAAAGACGAAAACGGGCGAAGAAGTAACTAAAGCTATGAAAACCATTTTTAAGGCAGGTCGAGTGCCGAAAAACATTCAAACCGATGCTGGAAAAGAATTTTACAATAAACATTTTGAAACGTTAATGCAACAAAATAAAATCAATCATTATTCTACATACAGCACGAAGAAAGCAGCAATCGCCGAACGCGTCATTAGAACAATAAAAAATTCTCTGTATAAAACGTTCAGCTTGCGCGGAAAGTATAAGTGGCTTGATGTATTAGATGCTACGACAAGCGAATACAACAATCATAGACATCGAACAATTGGTATGAAACCAAGTGAAGTGAATGCAGATACAAAGCTTAGTGCTTATACGCACATAAAACTATTTAACAGAACGCATCGCTTTAAAGTAGGTGATGTAGTGCGCATCAGTAAATACAAGAGCATCTTCGAAAAAGGATATACTCCCAACTGGTCTTGTGAGCTGTTTAAGATCATAAAAATTCGCATTACCAATCCAGCTACTTACCTCCTCGAAGACATGAAAGGAAATCCTGTGTTGGGTGGATTTTACGAGCCCGAATTGCAGAAGGCTAAAGATCCTGATGTATATTTGGTTGAGAAAATCCTTCGACGTAAGAACAACAAAGTGTATGTAAAGTGGCTGGGTTTAAATGAGAAATCTTGGATTAATCGAGACAATATTGTTTCATAAGCATTTATTGTAAATGAAATACTTAGGTAGCACTAGTGATATGTGAAGGAATGTAGGTAATAAGGTACATGAAATAAAAACAATAGAAACAATTAATATCGTTTTATTACCATCGAGATTACCATGCACAGTATATACATTTAAAATTTCATTAATTGATACAATAATCCTAAAGTACGTTTATAGCTATCTATATCGGACGACGGCCAGGCTCCTGAATCTGGCCCACATGACCATCCCAAACATAAATTGGGATTCTGTTCACCTTTTTGAATATTTTGTAATATCCAATGGTATATCTGACTATGTTCATCGTTTTCCCACGGTTGAAACATGTAACTAATATTATTTTCTAGCAGTACCTTAATCAAAATTTCGAGACACTTATAGTTTGCATAATACGCCGATTTTTCAATGCATTCTGATAAAATACATGAAGTATTCCTATATGTAGCATTAAAAGTTTCTAAGCTAGATTTTACATCACTTAACATACAGTACGAGTGATCATTACATAACGAGTCATACAAATACATCTTCAGTGGTACGTTATCTATTTCGCACATTTCATGTAAAATTTTATCTACGTCACTATAACTTAATGAGTGATAACCTTTATTATTACAAAGCTGTATAAAAGTTTTGATAATCCTATCTAATTTAAATTTTTCGTCAAATAAGGTCTTAATAATTACTTCATCTACATAATTTAAATTTACTGCACACAAAACAAAATATTCATCAGGAATAATGATATGATGTAACATATCAAGTATAAACTTATTATCTTCATTGGATGACTTTCCCATTAAAGAACGTTTCAGAGTAGTTTTGTAAATTAGGTCGCTATTTCGCCATAGTTGTTCATGCATTATGTTTTTAGGATTGCTCATAGTGACAATCTCTGCAATGAAAAAAGAAATAGGTATAGTATTCTATGTAAAATTATATCCCCAAGGCCTAGTGTCAGTGGAATTGAACTGTATTATTCTTTTGTCATCGTGAGGACTGAGTACTACCTTATCTTGCTTGATTGTAAAAACTTCATGTTTCTTTGACCTAATTATATGTTGATACCTTTTTATTATATCACGTTCAAATAAAGCATTTTTATAATCATTTATAGTGATTTGTTTAATACTAGTCGCAGTAGAACCCTTTGATTTCTTTACAACTTTTTTATCAACGGCGTAAGCGTACATTTTTGCACGAAGACCTACAAACTCTAACATAATGTTTCCATGATTCTCATCTTTCATTAAGCCCGGAACCTTCTTATTGACTAACGGAATTCCAAAAATATTAGTGGGGCTATAGTCAGAGGTATCAAATTTAGCAATATCTTCTTTGATACATTCATAGATATCTGAAACGGTAAAAGAGTATATAAGACTATCAGTATCAGTGTAAAGTAGCTTAACATTATTGTTAAACTTGGACAAGGTGTAACCGTAATGAAAATCATACAAAAAAGTTTTCGAAACATCTAAAACGGCAAACCCTGCATATATAGGTTTGTTCAAGAGTACCTCTAACCTATTCATTTCAATGATGATCATGTCATTATCAAAGATTTCGCAACTATGAAAATTTGGTTTTGATATGTAAGCACGAGCACCATAGCGCCCATCCCATTTTGTGATTAAGTGTACGTCCTTATATTTTCGAACATTCTCCATTAACTTTCCATAAACGTTATTAATCATGTTTTTATAAAAATTTTTATCAAATTCGTTTTGAGATTGCTGTCGCATCGCAGTATTTAAATCAATATATTTTTTTAACCACGATGACTGCTTGAAACGTAAGATACGGTGCACTTTCACCAATTTCAATCCGTATTTTAAATAAAGTTTTAAGTTTCTGTAATGAATTACATAGTTGCGTTTTGGGTACAGCGTTAGTAGTAATTTCTTCATTTTAGATGTCGAAATAGGTGGAATCATGTGTTCTGGTGCTAGCGGTAGATCACTATGGAGCTCGTGTAATTCAATGGGATAGTCTAAATCGCATTCTAATATATAACCAATTTCGGAATCATCAGGGTGATTTATGATATTCAAATCTTTAAAATTTGCTTCATCTACAAAACAAAATTCAGCAAATGGTAAATACTCGGACATAGCTGCACCATATAAATTATTTACATCATAATACATTAAGTATACAGTTTCAGAATTAGGGTCATACTCATCTCCCATATATTTATTGTTAGCTTTAGCATATCGATTCGAACATTGAGACACGCCACCTCTAATACCTCTTTCAATAAACATTATCATATCAATATCTGTTAATAACTCTAATTGTATCTGCGTAATTTTCAGCATGGCATCAAACGCTAAACCGGGAGCGGTATAATAGTGGAGGGGGTCAAGTTTATATGTATTTAAACATGTTTGGCGAAAATTTTCAAAAATGTCTGCTAAAAGTAGAACGTCCGTTTTTAAATATAAGTCAGAATATTCACCCAATGTTTTAATATTAAATTTGTTCCAAACCTTAATAGCATGGCTATAACTATCATCGCTGATCGTGTTGTTACGAAGGTGACTGTAAAATGTTTGCTTTGGAGGTAAAGTAGTATCATTTAGTTTATCCCAACTATCAATATACTCATAAGGGAAAACACCTTTGCGAGTTAATAAAGAGAATTCCTCATCATTATTACAATTTGCTCTGGTAATCATTTTTTTCTCATTGTCCAAAAAATTAGATAACTTATCAATACTACTACTCATAAATCTAAAAGAGTCAATAAATCTGAAACTAATTATGGTACCCTCTATTGTTTTAGTGAACGAGATGTATTTTTCTTTGTTGACAGGCAACAGCGATATGTGACCGGTAATTCTAGTAGCCAATTCTCTAATAATGAAATGCGAATCATAACCTGACAAATTGTGAAAGGCAACGGGAATTACATGGGAATCCTTATAATTTAGGTTACAATGCGAATGTGACGCTCCTCGATATTGCCCCGTAAAGTGGTTATGATCTCTAACCTTCGTATCGTACTCGGTGAAAGGTTTTAAGCAAATGTGACAAACTATTGAATTCCTAAAGTTATCAATCTGACTAGGATTTAAAGTTTGCATTGGAATGATGTTTGCGATGATTTCATTAGCCCAATGGGCAATGCTATGAAGTTCTTTAATGAACCAGGAAATGCAATCGTTTCCCCTATAAAGCCTAAAGCGTGATAATGAATCGTTGTAGCAGCATTTTAAATAATATGCAACGCTGAAAGGTATATGTTTCGACTGAAATATGGTGTGATTCTCGCGGATAGTTAAATTTGAACAATTTTCTAATATACTTTCTAAATCCGCATAAATTACGAAAGGTACCATCTCCTGAAAACGGTAATTTTTAAACTCTAAACGATTTTCTGTTTCCCTTGGCACTCTAACAGCGCAGTGGTTTTGCTGCTGGCAATAAGTGGTATGCTTTTTAAGAAGACGATCTGCAGAAAAATAGTTCAGACATCGGTTACAAATAAACTTCCTATGATCCTTATTCGATAATTGCTTGGAGACGAGAGCCGACATGTTCTTAATCCACGCAAAATGGTAAACAGTATTATTTTTCACATTAATAGCCTCGGCAATGGAACCATTTATATGTGTAATAGTGGGAAGTAGTAGAAGATTTATAGGATCTTTATCGCTCATATGATTAGTACTTAATGCAAAGGGCAATATCGATTTACCTTCAATGCAAAACAAATTGATTGCTAGATTATTTAGTTTTTCAAATTTGGTTACATCTTCTAGTTTAATTGGAAAATTAATTGCATTATAGTTTAACACTTCACTAAAATGAGGATAACCGGAAATTCTATCTGAATGATGTTGAGCAGGGTATAAAGCTGAAACGATCGCCCACAGAAAGCAAAATTCATCATTATTTTTAACATTAACTACTGCATGCTTAACTGCTATGAAATGAGGAACTTTAACGTAAGTTGATATACCACCTTTGAAAGGAATGTAGCTATTAATATTTACTTTTAAATGTAAAACTTCATATAGGGCCCAACCTGAATCTTTTTCAGAAAACTCTTCTAATTTTTGTTGTAGTATAAAATAAACGTTCTCCTTATACCACTCGTGCAAGTCAGTGATATTGTTTATTACATCATTTTTCGTGCGGAACGTTTTCAAATCAACAATGTGATTTTGAGGTTGAATGAAATTACATGCTAAAACAACATTTACCTTTAACATTGACTGCTTTAACATTAATTTAATCTTTCGCGCAAAACTACTGTACGCATTTTTTAAAAAAATTAAAGGGTCCTTAGTATTTCCTATATTTACGATAATTCCTGTAAGTAACCTACCATTGAAACATGAATCTAAAGTATACCAACCTAATCTACGTGTTCGTTTTTTAGCAACACCATCAATTCCATCGCCCTTTTTTTCTGAAGCGTTCTTTAATTGTTTAAGTCGTACAAAATAGCATTTTAACAATGACAGACTGTTTTCCAATTTATGCAAACTTTCATTTACTTCTAAATACAGTTTATTTTTAATCATTTTTTGTAATAACTTTATATTAGTGTTAATGATACGAATGTGTCTCACATATTCATCTCTTGTTTTTAAAAGCGACAACGCTTCTCTGGTTAATTTAACTAAATCGCTACTGTTGAACATTTTTGCATTAATAGCCTCACTCATAGTTACCTTATTACAAAGTATCCAAATAAGGTGGATATGTAGCCGTCGTACTAATGATTTAAATAACTATAACAGCACTTTAGGATTATGTAAAACGTTTCAGCTATAATCCGTGAATGGTAACTGACTTCAACTTATTCTAAATCCGCTTATATAGCTGGCCATCAAGGATAAATACCTAGAGGTTAAATATCCCTCCAATAAAAGTAGATCAAGGTGCAAAAGACGAAAGTCCAAAGTACAAAGTACATAACATTATTTGAAGGGCAAATATTAAAAAGGTTAACGATCTTTCGCGTAAATGTATAAATAGATGAAGGTTATGCAAAGGATAAAGTCAAAAGTTCAAAATACAAGGTACTTAACCTTTCAATGTCATTATTTGAAGGGCAAATATTAAAAGGTTAACGATCTTTCGCGTAAATGTTAAAATAGATGAAGGTTACACAAAGAATAAAGTCAAAAGTTCAAAATACAAAGTACATAACCTTTCAATGTCATTATTTGAAGGGCAAATATTAAAAGGTTAACGATCTTTCATACAAATAAATCAAGGGCAAAGGGTAAAGTGCAAAATATGTACATACACACATACATAATCTAGGCAAATATGTGAATTGAATTTAAAAAGGGATTACGCAACAAGCGCTCCAAGTTACTTCGCGCGAAGCGCGAAGAATTTTTCGAAATTTTGCCGAAATTTTTCTCAGGGTTCATTGACCCCCAAAATTTGTAATTTGACACCCGAAAATTGTCAAAAATTGTAATATGACACCCGAAAATTGCCAAAAAATGTAATATGACACCCGAAATTGTAACATGACACCCGGAATTGTAATATGACACCCGGAAATTGAAATATGACACCCGGAAATTGAAATATGACACCTAAAAATTGTAATACGCCACCCGAAAATTGCCCAAATTTGTAATTTGATACCAAAAATTGTCAAAAATTGTAATACGATACCCAAAAAAAATTGCCAAAATTTGTAATTTGATACCCAAAAAATTGTAATATGATACCAAATTTTGTAACACGATACCCAAGCAAATTGCCAAAATTTGTAATTTGACATCCAAAAATTGCCAAAAATTGTAATATGACACCTAAACATTATCAAAATTTGTAATATGGTACCTAAACATTACCAAAATTTGTAATTGTAATTTAAATGATACCCCAAAAACTGTACCTAAAAAACTGAAAAAAATTGTAATTTGATGCCATAAAATTGCTCAAATTTTTAATATGATAGCCCAAAAAGTATTGGAAACAATGATGTTGGGCACCCAAAAGTTTTGGACACAATGTGGCCCAATTTAATTAGAAGAAAATTGTTTTGGTTATTGGGGTTTCACCTAGGCGGATGGAATCGAATGTATTGGATGTTCGCAGAGAAAACGATAGGACTTTGCACCTGCTATTCAGGTCAGTTCGTTAACTTTGCTTACGTGAACTATGGACTTCCGCACGTGTTCGGTCATTAACCGCGCCATTTCCGCCAGCACTGCTAAAGTCTGCAAAATTTTATACATATACACTTAACATTACGTTTGAAAAATCAGTTGCTTCGCGTCAATCAACGAAAATGCCTGGCAATAATAATAAACGCGTGAAGTTGTCCCTTAAAAAGGCACCCTCGCAACAAGTGCAAACTGCTCCAACTATGTTGGGGCAGTTGCTCCTGCAACCAAACGTCATCACGACCATCAGTGCGCAACCGGCGGGTACGTCGGGTACAGGGGCGCGACAGGAAACACAGCGGATTCCTGATCAAACCCCTGTACCTGTAATATCCATAGCGGATAGTGACGTGGAGGACGAGTTCAATCGTCTGTTTGAAAGGTAAGTTTTCATTAATTTATACCTTTTTTTTAATTTAGTAAATGCGCTATGCAATACACTATTTCATACTATTTTCATTTTTTTCAAGCGTAACGCCCCCCACGTTACCTTCATCCACCCCGCTCCGGGCGCCGCCGCCACCACCACCACCGCAGTATGGTGGAAAAAATTTAGATTTGCTGCGGGGGGGAGGAACACGTCATTTTTAGTCCTGAAAGTCAGGACATCCTCCCCCCATACAGTCAAATGGATCCGGTGCTGCAGCAGCAACCTATGGAGCAGCAGCTGCATCACCAGTCACAACAACAGCACCAGCAGCAGCCCCAGCCCCAGCCCCAAGCCCAACTTCAACCCCAGGCTCAGCACCAGCAGTCCCAGCATCAGCAGCCCCCGCATCAGCAACAGCAAGCGGTTCCTCCAACCAACTTGGAGGAATTCCGAAATACTGGTGTGCAGTGGCTGCGTGCGTTGTTGGGGACGTACCGGCAGAGTGCTGGAGTTCACGAAGGGCGGATCGCCCAAATGCGAGCTGCCCTCGAACGTGAATCGCAGAACTTCGAGGTTTTGCGGAATAATATCCGCAAAACCGAGAATGTTCTGCGATTGCTCGAGGACGCGGAAGTGTAGTATTAAGATATTTTTAAGGTATTATAATTTAGTTAATAAGTAGTCTTAGTGTTATTTTAGTTATTGGGAGTTTTAGTTTTTCTTTAAATAAATAATTATCTTTACGTGCGTGTTATTATCACACATCATCAAATTCATAGCAATTTTTAAGGTAGTTCCTACTTTATAGTTTGAAAAAAAAACTCAAAGTCATAAATCTAAAACGCATTCAGGGCGATTAGCTTAATCATTGGTACAAGTCGCAAATTAATAAATTAATTTAGTTTAGTCCATACTTTTTCTGTCATTTAAAAGTCACGAACTTCATCCATTTCGATTTGTTAAGCAGGCCTGCCATATACAATGGATGCTCTTTTAAATAAAACTGTTTCTATTTCCTTGCATCACCCTGTATAAAACAAATTAATTTCAAAATGAGATACGTTTATTGGTTTACACATAGCTACTACGGAAAAATTGGCAACTCTATTTATTAAGCGTTTCCAAAAAAAAAATGGGAAATTACACTGAATTTAAAAGGCCATTTCCAAAAAAATATTAGTACCTTGACATTACACTGTCACGTTCACCCATTTCGAAGTTTAATAGGTCTGCACTTGAAAGTGTTAATTGTGGAGGCTTTTTAAATTCACTTTTAAGTTACGCAAAAGTACTTAGTAATGCTGTTTCAATTTCACGGCATCACCCTGTATAAGAGAAATTCATTTCAAAATGAAATGTGTGTTTATTGGTACATACTATATAAAAATTAACAACTTTACAAATGATTCATTACCTTAAACGTCCATTTCCAAAAAAGTAAAAAATTCAAATGTGCACATAACTTTTAAACGCGTATTTCCAACAAATAATGGTAAGAAGTTCAAAATTATTAAATCCAAAACACTAAACCTAAACGTATATTTCCAAAAAAGTAAAAAATCTAAAATTCCACTAGGAATATTAAACTTTACACTTTTTTATTTAATATCTAATGTGCATAGTTTTTGGTTTATGCACGAAAGTTCGTTATCAAACTTCACTTTCGTCCTATATCCGAATATTTTCACGTTGTTGAAGATGACGTCCTCCATTGGTGACACCATCTCCAATTGGCCCTGAGGGTCCATTAGTAACCCGTACGCATTCTTTCGGTCACCCACCGTTAACGTTTTCATTTTTCTTTGCGCCTCCAACATCTCCACATCAAATTTTAATTGCTTGATGTTTTTTATTAACGTTTCCAGCCTTCTCCTCTTCTGGACAGCTATCTCTACTTTAATCACTCCACCACGCCTAGTTACACTACCCTTCTTATGCATGTTTTCTCGATCAACACTGTTGCTTAATGAACTCATAGTCACGTAGGAAAGCCTTTTATTACAAATGTACAACTTTCAACTTGACACTATCGAGTGCCATGAAGGTTACCGCCAAGGAGCGGGTGACCTTGAAAATCCTCACCTCTACCTACTTTCCAAAGTCACCGACCGACCTTGAAGGTTTTCACCTCTATCTACTTCTCAAAGTCACCACCGAGAGCGACCTTGAAAGTCTTCACCTCTACCTACTTTCCAAAGTCACCGACTTTGAGCTTCACCTTGACCTACTTTCCAAGGCCACCGCCAGGTGACCTCTGAATTTCACCTTGACCTACTTTCCAAGGCTACCGCCAGGTGGCGAGTGACCTTGAACTGGTCCAGAACCGGCCCTATATAACTACTAACGCCTTCAAAGAAACCTACGTTCTAAACGTCAAGTCTCCAATGAAATCCAGTTTTTTCCTGTTACCGTTCCCGTGGGAATTTCGGAAACTCAGAAACTTCCCCCAAAGAGACATAGAGACAGGCAAGCATTCATTTTTATTTATATAGATAATATCATACTCGGCGAACGTTGTATCACCTATCCCAACGAACTTCGTAAATATGGCTGCATTGACATTTCCATATAATGCAATTATAGTGTGCACATTTTAAATAAAAAAGTTAAGAGAGATGCTGTTTCAGGACATGGTTGAGATGTGTTGCAAAATCACACTGTGCACATTTTAAATAGACGAAAGTATTGAGTTAACATATGCGCACTAGCATGTAAGAAGGCCACAGCGGGCTATACGGAAACCAAACACCCCGTATAAAAACGGTGTATTGCGATGGATTCTACATAAAAAAAGCGCCCAAAAAAATATTTTCCTAAAATAAATTAGCTTTAATAATAAGAAACGGGCCATTAAAGAAATTAAGCAAACTCGAGAAACGCCCCCTAGCGGCCAAACGATTAGAGATAGCTCTGTACATATCTAAGACTACATTAGCGCGACCGGATCACTGGATGTCCGGAGTAAAGGGGTTGCACAGACGACAAAAAAATTTTCTTACATGTTCGGAATTTTAGCTGTCTGTCAGGGAAACAGGAATTTTAAGAAAAATATAAGAAATTATAATATAATAAAATCAAATTATGAGTTACTAATAGTACCTATTCTGTGCTCTCGGTCAGGATCCGTGGGGGGGGGGGGGGGGGGCGTCGAAAATCATCACGCCTTGAAATTTATTGCTGAGGCAACGATTTTGCCAGAAAACTTATTTTTGGAGCTGGTTATCCTAACCGTAATCAAATTTAAGAGAAAAACTCAAATTAAGGCATATCGTGGTATTAATTAATGTTATAATCCTACTAATTTGCATGGAAAAAATGTTAATCTTTTGTTAGTTTTTGTCGTATAAATATTTGCAACAAATGTACAATGTACAAAACATGTAAACAAAAAAAAATACACAAAAAATTAATTATGAAACAACTATTTACCTTAATGTGAGTGTTTCTATAAAATTGTGTTATGTAATATAATAAATTTTGTACGTTTCTATAACCAAAAAAGTGTGCAATTTAAGAATGTAGGTAATGAAAAATAGCCGTTGCTATAAAAAAATATATATGCCCCCTTGACTCTGCAGACGTATGCCACTGGGCACTGACCACAATTTTAAAGCATGTAGATTGGTAGCAAACTTTTTATTTGGATACCATAAAAAGCTTCTTTAACAAAATATTGTTTTGAAAGATATGTTTCAGACAAAATTTCCACCCTGTATAATTCAAGGCCATGGAATGAACTCCATCATTAATAACCAAATCGTCAAAAAGATTTTGCCTTATTTCTAAGTTCTTTCAAAATATAAAATGCAGGTCAGTATTTAAAAAACTAAAGTTGATAATGGCCCCAAAAAAACGAAACGTGGCACTCTGTATGGGAAAAAAGACGCTGCTATCAAAATTGTAGCTACGATTCTTCTCCTCAGGGGTTGATCTTTTATGTTTCAGTTATATTTAACAGTGCGTTTGTTTCTGCGGAAATTAACTAAAAACACGAAGGATCTGTTCCAAATAAAATAATGTTTATTGTTAAATAAATTGCATAGGTACATCCACGAACTTATAAATTAAGATGGACTGCTAATGCTGAATTAACAAATGACACCTACATGGAGGCCACCATGATGTGCACTCACATGGCGCGAAATTCAAATCAACCAATAAACAAGCATTAACCCAACATTAACGTTTTATAAATAAATTACTGTGACACATGTCATTTTTCAAGGTTGCAATAGTCTCAAAACTTGAGCACTAGGAAAATTCCACTAGAAAATAACTAAAATGTGCACATCATGGCGGCGACCATGCTAGGGCCATTTCTACCTCTATGCAACTGTTTGATCAGCAGTCCATCTTACTTTATAAGTTCGTGGGTACATCAAACCCAAATGTCAAGGGAGAATTTATTGTATTATTTTGCTTGGGATGGCAGGGTGTGTATATAGTCAAGTGTACAAATATAAATCAACCAAGGAAAATGTTACAAAAAAAACTTGCGAATCCAAGTACCAAGGAGGTTGATGTGTGAAGATAATTAATGGCATTTTCATGTTATTGTGTCATACCCGAGGTCATACCACAATCAAAGAATGCGAGGTAGGTACAAAATCAACACCCCACTTTAATGGCCGGTATATAAAGCATACTTCTATGTTGTCAACAATGTTGTTGTTCTCAAAGAATGTTATTCTTTGAAAAAACATCCGAGCATATGCCTAACAACATTGTTAGTCTGACAAGATATAGTGGACTAAGTGTTTTTAGTGATATGATTACACTGTATGGTTAAAGCTTTTGCGATGTCCTTATTGTTCGTAATAAAGGGGCTATAAAAGATTGGTGTTAGTGGAGCCATCTGTTAACTCGTCTTTTAAGATTATTCAACTGTTTCAGCCCTCCCAGATCCCAATGAATTTGTAATGCACTGTAAAGTTTTAAATTCCTGTGTGCATTGCACTATATTCAAAACATGCAAGTGGTGCAAGGTACAGTAGGGCCAGTACATCTTTCGCGGTACTTACCTATTCTGACAAAATATTAAAAGCGAGCACACAGCGAACTCACCCGCTCCAGCTGCGCACCAAAGTGCACTGGCACCCTCAATCACGTAACCATCAAATTTAACAGTACCCTCTTGCTCCAAATCGGGACTAAATTTGGACAACAACATTTTGACCACCTTATCATGACCATACCTTGCGGCAATAATGAGAGGTGTACAATGTTGACCTTCATCTTCGACAACAGACTAAAATAGTCCAAATCAATTTATATTAACAAAGAGCAAGCTACTTACATTATTCAAAAGTTTAGTCACTTCAATTCCATTTTTATCACTTAACAAAGTGTAGAGCGTTATCGCCATGCCATCCCTAGCAGCGTAGTAAACGCGATTTTTAAACGACTCGCTCATAATTACTGCTAAAGCGAGGAAATCGACTTCATTGAAATTCTATTTTAAACTGTCACACCGAACACACGAGTTACAACTTTCTCCGAGAATGACGTCGATTCTCTGCTTATACTTGGAGGTTGAGATGACCAGCTGATTTTTACAGGTGCGCAGTTTGTGTACGATTTTATCCCACTCTCATTCCTCTGCACGTGACTCGAAAATGCGCGCCAAATTCCCCTCATTATCGAACAAAAAATTTGCCGGGTTCACTGGTTGGGGCAATCTGATAAGGAGCAAAGACACCACATCGTCATACATAAAAAATCGGTTTTGTGATATTCGGTACAGAGTCGGATTGCTCTGATTTTCGCGTAGAAATATGCCCCAATTCCTAGATCAATGGCGCGTTTGCGATCACGCACGTGCAGACCGATTGTTTTTGTTACAAAAGTAATGCTCCGATTATCTAAATGAGGGGCCCATTTCAATTAGAAGGCAATCCGGTCCCGATTCTATATCTAGTAAGAAAAAAGGTGACCTAAACCCAAACCAGTTATTAATCAAAAAGTTAACATTTACCGTCATATTTTTGATAACCTGTGAACTCGGAGCATCTAATTTTATTTTTACATATCATAAAGGCTCGCACTTGTGTGACCTTTTAGCCCCTAAATGAATATATAGGTAGGTATCTAGAATTTTCCAGAAATATTTTAAATATATTCAAGGAATAATTATATTGGATATTCCATGATTATTTCCTAAAGAATATTCCAGGAATAATTTTAGGAGTTATACAAATTTTAACATAACATTAACAACTAAGAATTAAGGGATTTTGTAGGTCGTAGAACAAAGTATATACCTACCTATGTTTCATCAGGGATTATTTGGCCCTATATACGGCTATATGGCCCACATAATTTTGAAGATTCCTTATGAATTTGACAAAAGCGTCAAACAAAATGGCCCTTCTTAAAAAGAATTCCTAATAAATAAATCCGTCAAATCTAAGGGACGAGGTTGGTTGATTTGAAAAATGTGGAGCGTTTTAAGAACCCAAGCAGAAAAATTAAAAAATTAAAATGTTCGAAAAATCACAAGAATTTGAAGAATCAACATTGGAAGAAATTTTAAAAAGCGAAAAATTGAAACGAGGGTATAATAATACGAATAACTATAATTATGGTTCGAAAGGTAAGGTTTCATGTGCTACAATTCAATTCGAATGATTAATTTGAATTAATTACCCAATTCGAGATTAAAGAAACCAGTAAATATTCATATCGTTTTAGATTAGCATATGTACTGCACTGTATGTAATACGCTCTTTTGTATGTGAATGTGACCTACGTAAAATATGATGGATGAACTTGAAGGTAGATCAGCTGTTTTTGCAATTCCTTCAATAATTTTTTTAAAATGTTTTTTTCTCTTTTTCGAAAAAAATTAGAAAATTCTCCGGTACAAACTCCACCAATCCAACACGTTCCTGTCGATACGAACGAATTGCGAGATAATGTCTTCGGTAAAAAAAGTGTAAAGATTGAATTGTGAACTTTGTAACCTTATCTTGCATTCAGATTTCATTCGCACAATAAAAGATCCCGAAAAACCCAACACGTTAGAAGAATTAAATGTAGTCTACGATGAAGGTGTCATTGTACGTCGTCAAGTAAGATACGAAAGTCGATCATTATTATTTCCGCTTTTATGGTAGGTGCAAAACCCGACGGCCGGGAACATTAGTGTCATACGGGTCGAGTTTAATCCGACCGTTCCGCATTGCTCGTTGGCAACTTTAATTGGATTGTGTATTAGAATCAAACTTGAACGGAGTATACCTCAGGAGATGAAACTAGATATATTTATTAAGAAAGGTGCACATTCGACAGAAGACGAAAGTAAGCAACTGCTGGTGGTTTAAAACTCATACCAAATACCACCAAGAAATAGCTATCTTGTTTACCTTAATTTAGTAAATAACATTTTTTATGGTTTACTTATGGAATTATTTGCCATTCTAAGTACAAGTGATGGAAGCTTTTTTTTTTGCTTAGAATAGCAGCCTGTTACTGCATTGTATATTAAGATAATTTTGTTTTGCAGTAAATAAACAAATAAACGATAAGGAAAGGATAGCGGCTGCTATGGAGAATCCAAATTTGAGAGAAATGGTGGAGAACTGCATAAAGGAAGAAGACTGAAATTCTCTTATTTTTATGTTTATAATTATTTTGATCTATGTATAAAGTTTTAATTGTGACTAATAAATTTTTAAATTAATTGATTTAGAATGCTTCAAACTTACATGTGGTCGAATAAGTGGTAAAGTTGTATTTGTTACAAACAGTACAATATTGTTTAATTTTACACATTTGGAATGAGAATACCTACACAATACAACCTATCAAAGGTTCTAATACGGCGTATAGGTGCCTTACAAATTAAAATCCACTTGATTTATCCATGCACAAATTCAATTTTTCAATCCCTATGACAAATCAGATTTTTACACTTTTCCTTCAAGTATCTTTAGCTAAAATTTGTGTTAAATATTATAAACTAATAACTGTGCAGGTGTAGATAAATACTGTAATTTTTTTAAGTGATCATTAAACTTCATAAGTATAATAAGATTATTATTAGTATTATTGTTATTATTTATGTTAGGGCTAAAGTTTGGTGTGGCCCCAGGGCTGATCAACTTCAATGTGACCCAAAAAGGGCCACTTAAAAAATGGCCCTGGTTGAGAGATTTTCAATACCATGTTTTGTTCAGAGAAATCAGCAACTTTATTGTTTATATGGCCCGTGAAAAAGTACACACTGTATTAAATAGCATTTTTTATAACGAATAAAACGATATAACGGCACACAAAAAAATACAGGAGCTAGAAACTGTTGGTTTCAACAAGATGGTGCACCCGCGCACAAGGCCCTAATCGTATGAGAATATACCTTTCGGGCAAATTTCCTGGAAAATAGAGAAATTTGCCAAAAAAGTATTCTCGCATAGTTATGGAGCCGTGCGCGGGTGCACCATCCTGTTAAAACCAACTGTTTCCAACTTTTGTTTTTTTGTGTGCCGTACATCGTTGTATTGGTAAAAAAATACTACTCAATAAAGTATGATTTTTCAGAAACCAAACATTGTATTGAAAATCTTTCAACGCTATCTTGTAGAGCTCAAAAAGTGACCATAAGAAAATATGTTTATTTTTTTTCTATTCAAATAACGAGGTGCAAAACTTGAGGAAATGTTAGTTTTAACCATCCCTGAATATCATCCCAAAGTTTCAATAACTTTTCCGACCTTTTTTTATTTGAAACAACCTGTCGACTGAACTACACACGTGGCCTGCTATGGAGCCTTGGGCATCTAGTTTTACCAGATCATCTGCTTGCAATATCAGAATGCCATGAAACCCAGTAACATGGTGCTGCTTCAGGTTGCAGATGCACTCCCAGACTAGTGCGGGCTAGGAAAGCCTTTATGACTGCTTGTAGAGATGAGCAAAAAATCACGACCTGTGAAATATTCACTGCTAATAAAAAATCGCATTCACAGGTTGCTATCAGTTTTATTTTAAACTGCTAACTGCGATTTGAAATTAAATTTTATTTAGAATCGTTGTTCATGCACGTTATTCGTTAACAATATTGCATTCACTTCACAGGATGTATATATAATGAGCGCATCGCATTCACAATTATGAACTGTCAAGTCAACAGCGAGTCGCGTTATCGCGTATTTTTATTTTTTGTAACGTAAGTAGGTAGGTAGGTACAGGAAGTTGTATGTAATATGAGAAACGTAAAATTTAATTCAAACTAACGATTTCTGAATGAATTCCTTTGAATTGATAATTACAGATGCGAATGGAGTCAGGAATGCAATTAAATATTAATTTCTCAAATTCGTCATTTAGTAGTCTCTCCTATATATTAAATAATAATGCTTCATAAAATTCGTAAACATATCTTTATATTCCTTAGAACTCCGCTTGGCGCTTTCGTTTTGTTAGAACTAACAGCAACCAGGTAAGTACGCCCACAAGCGGCAAGCCCAACATAGCGACAGCGTGAAGCAGTACAGCATTGTAAGAAAGCTTTTAACATCGCAAAAACGCTAACAATCACTATTACCAAATATGTTGCGGATATGCTATTGATTCGCAATTCGCATTCACAGGTTATGTTCACAGTGAACAGCAATTCGCAATCGCAGTTGTAACTGTGAATAAAAAATCGCAACTAAGCCCATCTCTAACTGCTTGCTTGACAGTCTGAGAAATGTCAATTGTTACGCCAGTGAATTTACAACGCCTTACACCGTATCATTGTATTTATAAACGAACTTATCTTCCCATATACAGGCGCAGAGATTTAAACGCGGTTTGAAAGTAGGGGGGGGGGGACTTTTACCCAAAGGGGGATGCGGCACTTGAATTCGCTAACCCCCATATTTTTAGGATAGGTCATAATATAGCGCGCCTCTGCCTAGAGAGGTAGCACCATCTATCCCACCTTTCACGAAATGTGTTATGAAATGCTACTGTCAAACTTGTTTTGCAAATGAAAGAAAAGTTCCAATTTATTAGTCATACGTAGTAAATTGGAGGAAGAAATTTGCCTTTTGTTTGAGTGTTATTAATTTTCAACTGCTTATAATTTTAAGAATAAACCCCCAAAATGAGTTTCTTCGGGAAATTGTTCGGTGGCAAAAAGGATGAGAAGCAGATCACAACTGGCGAGGCAATTCAAAAACTCAGAGAAACCGAAGACATGTTAATCAAAAAGCAGGAGTTTTTGGAAAAGAAAATTGATGTAGAGATGGACATTGCCCGAAAAAATGCCACGAAAAACAAACGATTAGCGATACAGGCGTTAAAGAAGAAGAAACGATTGGCAAAGCAACTCGAACAGATAGACGGAACGCTTAGCACCATTGAAATGCAAAGGGAGGCGCTTGAGGGTGCCAACACGAACACGTCGGTTCTGGATGCGATGAAAGAAGCAGCTGATGCGCTTAAACTCGCTCATAAAAATATGTACGTATTCGACCTATTTAAATCACTTCTAATCCATTAATTAATTGTGATCTGAATTCAAGGTTATTCATTTTGCTTAACTAACATACTTATGTTGCAAGGGATGTCGATCAAGTGCACGATATGATGGATGATATCGCCGAACAGCAAGACGTAGCTAGGGAAATATCCGACGCGATCAGCAATCCAGTGGCCTTTGGATCGGTGGTCGACGACGAGGATCTAGAAAAGGAATTGGAGGAGCTCGAACAGGAAACGCTTGAAAATGAGCTTCTGAAAGTTGGACCCGAGAATCTACCTGAAATTCCACAAGCCGAAGTCTCCAAACCTAGGCCTGCTAGTACGTACCCATTCAAATTCAATTGTTTAACACTACAACCTGATTAATTTTTCAGAAAAAGTTGAAGATGAAGATGACATGAAGGAACTCGAGGCTTGGGCGTCGTAAATGTTTGCACTAGACAGTCGCTGAGTATAGAACATCATTTTGCACTCGTCTGCTTGTAATATACTATATAAAGTTTAAAAGCTAATTTAATTCGGAAAGGAATGCTTGCTCTTCTATTGTGCATTAATTATGGCAAATAAACTTCGTAATGAAAATGGAGATAAATCTTTATTCGTAGATTTAGGTGGAATTAACCCTTTGTAGATAATCTTTTTCTATTGTTTATACATTTTGAATTGTCAAATTGTTTATTTTTTAATGCTGTTCACATTATTTTAAATTAAATTATATTTCAATAGATTTGTTTCATTCAATGCGTCAGATTATACAGGGTGTTTTTTTGGGAGCTTTAGTTAAACGTTTCTGGGAAAGTAAAATACGTAGGTTTTTCAAAATTTGTACTTAGAAGTTACTCTGAAGGCCGAATCTATATAAAATATTTTCTAAATGTCCGCACTTCCGGAAACACCGGAAGTAGATAGTAATTCCGTTGTTTTAAACGGCAACCCCTATTTTTTATTGCATTTTTGGATTCTACGTGAAATTTCAATTCTTTTGATACCCATATGTCGACATCTGCCATTTATGGTTTTTAAGTTATTTTGACTTTAAGAAAAAAAATGGCGGATGCAGATGGTACCTTGATAATTTATTACTTGAAAAAGGTTATAATCATGGTAACCCATTTTTATCAGTGCATAAAGAATGAATAGGGCTTTCTTTTAGTGTACTTAAAAAAAAGTTAAGTTATGTACGACCGCCCCTATGGATATCCAAATTTAAGAAACTTCAAAGTCTATAAACTCAGTTTTTTTAAATGGAATGACCATGTTCTTAATATTGCATGAGATAGAGAAAGCGAAATTGGCATATTTTGATATTACATGTTCCTATAGCTATCTTTAACAGTTTCTGATTTATTCCCATTTCATTGAATTGATCGCGGAATTGATGCCATTTTTTTTCGCATTTTCATTTTAGTAGTTGGCCATGATTTTATAAAAATCGAATTCTAAACAAATCAAGGAATGGATTCTTTCATACCATTGATTCTAGTTCTAGTCTAAATAATTCATTAATAAATAACTTATTTATTAAGGATATAGGACGGAAAATTTTTGAAAAATCTAAACAGAGTCGTTCAACTGAATTTCTTAAACAACGTATAAGTCTGGAAATTAAGAGAGGTAATGCGATATCTGTTCTAGCAACAATTCCATACCAAAAATGTTTCAACAAAGTTTTTTATATTTTGTATTGAATTTATTTTGTTAATCTTGCATTTGCAATTCAATTCATTTTCTTAAATATTCTCTTGTAGAGCTTTTGTATCACTTGTGCTTCAACGGTTTGTAGTGCATTAGGGGTACAAAATTTCCAAAATTCATACAATTTCGTTCCAGTTTTCGAATGAATGTACGGAAAGCACGCGCCGCCCATTTCACCATAAATAACAATTAAATTCCAAAATAGGTGAAACCACTGCGAGTCATTTTTCGATTTTTGAAAAACTTATGTTAACCTATAACAGTGGGTGATGGATTAGTATCACTAGATTTGTTTAAAATTCAATTGTTATAGAATCATGGCCGACTACTAAAAAGAAAATCCGAAAAAAATAGTGTCAATTCAATAAAATGGGAATAAGTCAGAAACTGTTAAAGATAGCTATAGGAACACGTAATATCAAAATATGCCAATTCGATTCTCTATCTCATGGAATACTTAGTAAGAACATGGTCATTCCATTAAAAAAAAACGGAGTTTTTAGTCTTTGAGGTTTCATAAATTTGGATATCCATAGGGGCGGTCGTACGCAACTTAACTTTTATTTAAGTGCATTAAAAAAAGCCCTATTCATTCTCTATGCACTGATAAAAATAGGTTGCCATGACTACAACCGTTTTCAAGTAATCAATTATCAAGGTACCATCTGCATCCGCCATTTGTTTCTTAAAGTCAAAATAACTTAAAAACCATAAATGGTAGATATCGACATATCGGTATCAAAAGAAGTGAAATTTCACGTAGAATCAAAAAATGCAATAAAAATAGGGGTTGCCATTTAAAATAACGAAGTTACTATCTACTTCCGGTGTTTCCGGAAGTGCGGCCATTTTGAAAATATTTTACATCGATTCGGCCTTCAGAGTAACTCCTAAGTAAAATTTTCAAAAACCTACCTATTTTACTTTCCCAGAAACTTTTAACTAAAGCTCCCAAAAAAACACCCTGTATATTTGATCATTAATGGGCGGCTTATACAGAATGAAACCTTAAAATGGACAAAAACAGTCCAAGAATTTGTGTTCATTCTTTTAATTTTTTTATGCCCGAGTATGCACCTGTTTTGTTTACCTTTTCAGATTAAAATTTTTTAAATTAAAATGAGTTCTAACGCTATTTGGCTATTTATTGTAAGCTTAAAAAATGCTAGTGATATGATTTTTATTATTTGGCTGCAAACGGCGTTCTGGCACCAATGCGCTTCTCATTTATAATGAAATCATTATTAAGCAGTGGTTAATAGTGGGAATTGTCACACTGCCCACTTTCAGAGATCATGACTACCCAAAATTTGGCTCAATAAACATTTAGACAAGATCTCTCTAAAATCAAGAGTTGCAACTTCCGTAGAAACTACATAGGTACTTAAAATTATTACATTTTGAAAAGATTCAAACCAAATTACTACTCGTTGAAAGTATGTCAATCACAGAACAATAAATAATGGCCTGCTTGACTACACTATCCTGTCTCGACCTTGGTAGGTATATAATATATTATTATATATAAAATACAGCAGAGTGGAGTAGGATTTGCATCAGGTGTTTTGTGACCGGAATCCTACTCAGTATTATACCTTCTTCCGATACGCCGTTTTTAAGTTCACAATTAGAAAGCAGAATGTAATTTAAAAATCGGATCAAACTTTCTGGACACACTACATGTAATATACAGGGGGAGCTGCGGGTTCATGTTTTACGGGACACGCTGTACATTTATTTATTTATGTATTTTAGGTTAAGGTGAAATTACTGTGATAATCCGATTAATGTTCTTAGATTATATGCCATAATTTATAGTTTTCCCCTTAAAGGACTTGCTCCATATTCCTACATAACATGACAAAAACTGCAGCAGGTTTAGTGATCTTCCGCAAGCATTTAAATGCAATTCAGTACCTTTTGTTACAAACATCTTACGGGGAACACCATTGGACACCTCCAAAGGGTAACATAATTTAACAATAACACATTAAAAATATTACGTAATGCAGGTCATGTCGATCCCGGCGAAACCGATCCAATGGTTACGGCATTACGAGAGACCAGCGAAGAATCCGGTTTGCGACAGTCGGATTTGAGGATATTTCACGACTCTAAGCATATTCTCAATTATAATGTACGCGGGAAACCGAAGATTGTTATTTATTGGTTAGCGGAATTAATTAATCCAAGCGCCGGGGTGAGATTGTCTGATGAGCACCAAGATTTTAAATGGTTAGAGTTGGAGGAGGCTTGTAGATTTGGAAATTACACTGATATGCAAGTTATGTTAAAGCATTATGATAATTTTATAAAAACAATGTGAATACACTGTTTTGATGATTTATAGTCGGGATGGATTTTTCTCCATGTACTTAGTTCATGCCTCTCTATGTGTAAATCCTCTAAAGTAAAGGACTATGGATAAAACTTGTGTATGCCCATGCCAATTACAGACAATATATTTTTTTAATTTGTGCAAGGTTATTGCAAAATATACCTACCTATCAATATTGCGTTTATTATAATAATTGCACATTCAGTACATCTAGCATGCAAGACTGAAGAAAAGCGGTCTGCGCCATCTCTCGGCCATCTTGAGAGCACCATTGCTACATAACAGCATCTTGGCAACAACTATTGTCATGCGAAAGCGTTGTGCAGTTCAAGTTTGTTGTTATTTTTATGTTTTTTAATGCATTTTATAATTTTCGACCATATTTTTATATTCAATTGATTTAACCTCAATGCAGAATCACGTATTTGATATCGTTAACATTTTGTTTGAAATAGTTTACGTGTTTGGTGTAATGTTTGCTTAATTTATTTTTATGTATGGATTACATGGTCTTGACCTGAAGTAATATTCATATAAATTTTGACCATTGTTTTAATATATGAAATTGTTTAATGTGTGTATCAACTTGTTGTTTGTGAATGAGGCGGTCACCACGCGAGTGGACAAAAACTGTAACCGTTTGCCATTGCACATAGCATTTTTATATGGTGCCCAAAGTGGGGCACATAGCAATACCTACAGCTCGAGAGTAAATAATGCCTTTGATCACTTGTACTAAAAGTACTGCGTTCTAATATTTTCAAATGTCAAGTATGGTGAATAAATTGTGATTATCCCTCAGGGGAAATTTGACTCAATCTGTAATAGTACCTAATAATCTTTATTAAGGGTTAGAAGAACTCAATTAAGTGCAATTTAGCCCCCCCCCCCAACCCCTCCATATTCGATCGGCAAAAAAGTGGTTGTAGTACATCATAGCCAAATAAAGCCATAGTACCATAGTAAATGATTTGATTATAAGGTAGTAGCCTGCTATATTTATCAATGTTTACCTTCTTGGTAAATGATTAATGAAGAGGGGGCTCTTTATACATAAACATTTAAAGGCCGCCTGGTATACATTACAATCTACGCTATATATATAATGGAAGAAGAATCAAGCTCTTTGATAAATTCTCCGAAATATTGCGCATTTTCCTTTTATAGATACCCTTCTCCAACATTTTCGAAATGTTCACAATTAAGTTTTTACATCGCCAGTAGATGTGTCTCGTCTAGACGATCTTACCGCTCTTTGAGAGTACCCTCTCCTCCGCCCCGCCGTTCTGCAGATATTTGCACTGAAAGTTTTTACATTACCAATAGATATGTCTCGTCCTGACGTGCACTTGCCCTTTATGAGTACCCTCTTCCGACAGACACTTCGTTTCGACTTCGCCAGTAGGACTATCTCGTCCCTTTTGCTTTTGAGAGTACTTTCCTCTGACAAACCGTTTTCGAGATATTCGCTCTTTGACATCACCAATGGATATATTTCCTCCAGATTTCCCAATCGTCGAAAAATTATATTCAATGCTACTAGAGGGCCCCCAACTCCCTCTGCTCGCGAAAAGGAGTCGTGCGAGTTAGTTATAGTTTCTACAAACCAATTCATTTTTTTGTTTGTAATGATGTGAATGCATAACATAAAATTAAAACAACAATATTGGCCAATCAGAGGTAACATTTAGGGACAATATGTCAGGTAGGTAAGCAGGTACCAAGATTGTAAGAAAGGGTGAAATATACAGGATGGCACTCATCTTTGGTGCAATAAAATCCTCTGGTTAAGAGAATCAAGATGGAAAATAACATGGCCTTGTAGGTAAATTCAATGTTACGACAAAATATGTGGAAATAATTGAATCGCAGCTCATATACCACACATACATTCTAAACCGAAGAGTTTTTATTAGCATAATCTTGCCCCCAAGATATGTAACTCGCCCCTCGTTCGGAGTTTCGAGCCTACAGTTACATGTCGAACACATTCACTGGATTAGTGTCGTAACACATTTAATTAGTTTTTGCCACCCCTGTAACTGCTTCATTCGCGGAGAAAATGTTAGATTACAAACAACCAGTCAGTACGCATACACACATCAAAACAATTTTCCCAATGTTTAAAAGATTGATTAAAACTTATATGAATATTTCTTGTGGTCAAGACCATGTAATCAAAGCATAAACATAAATTAAGCAAACATTACACCAAAAATGTAAACGATTTAAAACAAAAGGATAACGGTATCAAATATGTGATTCTGCATTACGGTTAAATCAAATAAATTTCAAAAACAAAGATTGAAACTCGCAAAAAATATAAAATGCTGCATACAAGACACAAATACGATATAAAGAAATGCAAAGATTACTACTTGCATTAAATAACAACAAACATTAAAAACAATAAGATGCTAAACGTAACCAACGTTCGTGCTCTCCATATGGTGCAGACAGCTTTTTCCCTCCTAAAAATTGCGTGGTTGCCGACTGTCAGACATGTGTGCATCGTCGTAAGTTACGCGGTTCTAGGACCAATCCCCTAAAAGTAGTTCAACACAATAGAACTGGATCTGGGCGGACTGACAGACAAAACGCAAACAATAGCACATTTTTTTAAATTCTTAACAAAATTAGCTACAAATTAAAGTTGACATGCAAAATTCGATTACACTGCACATAGTATATTTCCTGTAACTTTCAATTAAATAACAAAGTTATGTACATTGTGTAAACGTCAGATGGACGTGGAAAAATGCCGAATGAGCCATCCTGTATGTGTAAATGTTTTTCTGGTCAATTTAAATCTGGAGAATTTTATTACGAATAAGCATTATTTAATCAGAATTTGTACTTTTAGTACCTATTTGTCCATTTTAGCTTTGTTTTTAATTGATTAATTCCTTGTTTACATATTGAGATGTTAAAATTGCGTTGTTTAGAATTAAGGAACATTTGGTCGAGTTCATTTAAGTGTTATCTGCTCGAACGCGACACGGCCTCTTATTGGTGTTACATTTAATTTGAGGGAGAGGATTTTACTGACCTAGTGGAAGTGGGGAAGAATTAAAAAACACGTTGTAATAACAATAAATAAATTTATAACCACTTAACACGAAATTTACAGAGTATCTTCAATAACACGATCCTTTTTAAGTTGCTGCAAACTTTCGATTAGCCTGCTTAGCGATACTTCCCCAAAAATTTCATTGTTTCGCGTTCTTACATTTACGGAATTATTTTCTTGCTCCTTGTCTCCTACAACTGTAAAAAAATGTTATACCGCAGCAATGTAATCAATGGACATTATTATTTATGTACTTTCTTGTGAAATGGGAATCTTTGACGCACTCTGTCGATACATGATCCAAACTCACCAAGTATAAAATTAAACTGAGCTTGCTGGGCATTTCGAATTTTCCGATTAAACGTATCGCCTTGGTCGAGATCTATTTCGACCATAAAACCTGCCTCGTACAGTTTCCGTTCCACGTCCATCGCGTAACTGTGTACATTGGCATTTATAGGAATGACCATTATTTGTCTGGGAGATAACCAAAACGGCCATTTTCCTCCGTAGTGCTCAGTTAAAATGGCGAAAATGCGTTCGACGGATCCTAGAAGCGCTCGATGGATTATAACGGGACGTTTCTTCTCTCCTGTAGGGCTAGAAACCTATGTCTACTGCGGCTGAGGGTTATACACATACCTCTTATATGACAAATCAAATCTGATTGGTAGTTGAAAATCGAGCTGTATGGTTCCGCACTGATGCGAGCGTTTTAACGCGTCCAATACGATGATATCAATCTTAGGACCATAAAACGCGCCATCTTCAGGGTTTAAAGACCACGAATATCCTGAGAGATTTAAGCTATTCTCCAACGCCTTTAAAATTGACAGTCAAGTACGTCATGCTACCTATCGCGTACAGACCTTTTCGGCTTGATCCCAAATTTCGACGTCGCCCAAAAACTTTTCGGGTCTCGTCGATAAGACCAGATTAAATGTGAAGCCGAAAGTGGTATACAGACGATTCAGGAAGTCTAACGATTCGGTTATTTCGCCTTGAATTTGATCGATACCGCAGAACACGTGACCATCGTCCTGTTGAAATCTACGCACGCGCGTTAGACCAGTCAGTGTACCGGACAGTTCGTTTCTGTGAACTACACCAAATTCGGTACATCTAAAGGGCAGTTCTCTCCACGAGCGGGCGCGTTGTTGAAATATTAAGCTAGAGAGAAAGATGGGGTTTTGTAAAGGGGCTATGGTAAAAGCACCACCTACCAGTGGCCAGGGCAATTCATCGGTTTTAGGGCGAAGGTGTCATTTTCCACGTTAAATGAAAACATGTTGTGCTAAAATGAGGCAAGGTGTAGTGTTCTTTTTTGACAGCTGAGTGCACTTACAGCGTACAGATCCCAATGGCCCGATTTCTCCCACAACTTCGCATTAAACATGTTAGGGGTAACCACTTCTAGGTACTTTCGTTCCCGATACAGTTCTTTGACAAATTCAATAAGTGTGTTGTAGATGCGAGTTCCTCGCGGTTGGAAAAAACAGCAACCCGGAGATAAATCGTGGAAGAAGAACAATTCTTGATCCTACAGTGGCAAAGAAGCGGCCAAGATTAGACTTAACACGGCACTTACTTTTCCTATCCGTCTGTGATCTCTTTTAATGGCCTCCTCCTGAAACTGTTCCCATTCTTGCAACTGCTTGGTATCGGGAAAACTTATGCCATAAACTCTCTGCAAGGTTTCCGATTCCGAATTTCCCTCCCAATAGGTCGACGAATTCTACAATATCTCAAACGTTACGAATACTGGCCCGTCGAATTACCTTTGTTAATTTAAAAGCTTTCACTTTGCCAGTATGGAGAACATGGGGACCCCTGCAGACATCAATTAGAGATCCGCACCGATACACGGTAGCCGTGGGCGAATTGATTTTCTCATTCAATATCCGTACTTTAAACGGATTGTATTTGAACATTTCGAAAAGATCATCTTTTCGGACGACGAGTCTTTCGAACTTTTGCTTTCCATTTATAATTTCTTTAATACATTTTTCTAATTGAGGAAAATCTGTAGACGATATCTGGGGAAAACTCTAAGCGTCGCTGTACGTTGAATATACTCACTGTTTTATCGTGCAGATACATGTC